TTAAATCATTTCAAATAGCAGTATTCAACGTTTTAGGTTTAATATATCAAAACATTATTTATGCATTTGTAATTGCTGTTTAAAGGCATTCATGTCTTGCATTAAACAAAATACATGTGTGTAAATGCATCTAAATGCCACTTCAGATGCAGCTTCTGTGTTGATTTAATTTGCTTGATAACAGCCCAAATGTCTTATTCTAATTCCCTGATTAAATGTAAGAATCAGTCTCATCACAGTCATCCGATCTCAAACAAAAGTGTCTCTCTCATGCAAAAATACACCAGTTCCTCACCAAGCCACCGTCAAACCCTATCAGTGCTCTTCTTCTTTACCGCTCTTGCCAACACATCCTTATTCTGTGCAGCGTCCCATCCAACAGAAAGCTTTAATGAATCCTGCATAACCAATGTGCAATAAAACTGGAATTGAAATTACTAACTGGTCTCACTCATACTTTCACGGAAGTAGCTTTGGTGTTAGTCATGTAGTTGATATTTCTCTTGGATGCTGAGCTCTTCTTTCTGCTCACGTTGCCTCTTCCTCTAGTTCAGGACTGTCCAATCCTGCAGAGCCCAATCAAACACCGCTAAACGAGGTCTTCAGGATGACTAGAAACTCCCAGGCAGGATCGGACACGACTGCTCTAGAACATGAGGAGAAGCAGGAATTGCATCACCACTCTCTGCTGCACCTTGTCCCGATTCTCGTCATTCACAGCTGAGATCTGAACGCCTTTAACCCTCAGAAATGTGAGCCGAGTCTTTGCTCAGATCTTCACACTGACTGACAGTGTCTGCTAGACTTCTTCAACATCCTGTTCCTGGCTTGCAAAGAATCTATCCTCCACTCCTGTCAAACATAATCAAGGTGTTGATCCCAGACGCTTCTCATCAGCAAGCTCACCCTATCTCTCCACATGACAGGCTCACACTCGTTTAGGCGGTTAGTGCTTTCCATTCTTGCTCTTAAGCAACGACCTAGGATATGAATGTGCTCGTGTTATTTAACAGACTGAACACATTCATAACCTAGCGCATGTCTTGCATTGTCCATTACCTGACGGTCCTTAAAACAGACACCCAAAATACAGGCTGCAGTATGTTGAGCTGTAATATCACTAATAAAGGTGCACTAAGCAATTTTTGAAAAACACTTTTGACCGCAGGGTCGGACCGAGTCCCAAAACACACTTGGAGCCAATCAGCATGTCTTGGGGGATGTCTTGTAATGATAGAGAGAAGAGAGCGCACAGGACGGATATTAGCAAATCAAGTATAGCTAGAGAGAAAATATCGGAGGAACAAAACATTAAAAAGAAGGGTTACGATCAGGAAAGAGGTAGGATCTGTGTAAATATCGGAGCAGCTTTCCAGCGGTGGAGAGAAACTCGAGGGCTTGAATCGGATGCCGAGGTTGCGTGGTTTCTTTTTGATAGGCAACGTTGATTTTGCATAATTTCACACAACTTATCGATGTTTGCTTTTGTTTGAATATGCTTGTGTGTCATCTTTGCTTGTTTCCGCGATCGTCATTATGCCAGGGTTGTGTATGTACATGTGGGGCAGAGATATAAAAATAGGAGCGAGGTCCTGTTGGGGTATGGCCGTGTTTGTTTTGGTGCTTTTTAAAATGTCAACATCATTTGGCAAAAATCACTCAATGCACCTTTAAGTTACTATTAAAGTAAGCCAGTATTTTACAACACTCCTTTGCAATAAAGCACAGTGTTTGAAAAATTATAATTCATCTGGCAGTTTGAGGAGTAGACATTTGAAGAGTAAATTTGAAAAAAAAAAAATGAAATTTGCATAATTTCACACAACTTATCGATGTTTGCTTTTGTTTGAATATGCTTGTGTCATCTTTGCTTGTTTCCGCGATCGTCATTATGCCAGGGTTGTGTATGTACATGTGGGGCAGAGATATAAAAATAGGAGCGAGGTCCTGTTGGGGTATGGCCGTGTTTGTTTTGGTGCTTTTTAAAATGTCAACATCATTTGGCAAAAATCACTTAATGCACCTTTAAGTTACTATTAAAGTAAGCCAGTATTTTACAACACTCCTTTGCAATAAAGCACAGTGTTTGAAAAATTATAATTCATCTGGCAGTTTGAGTAGTAGAAATTTGAAGAGTAAATTTGAAAAAAAAAAAATGAAAAAAAAAAAAAATGCAGCATTCGAAGGAGTCTCTGATCTGAGAGATCATGTCAAATTGACCTTTAAAACAGAAAAAAATTGCACTCATTCTCAGAAATTAGAGGACATGACTGCCGTGTGTAGCCTGGCCCATCACTGATGCCATGTTCATACTGTAAAACCAGAGAAGAACCAACCCCTGACTGAGCCTGGTTCTCCCAAAGGGTTTTCTCCAATGCTTCCTGAAGGAGTTTTGGTTTCTTGCCAGTCATTTTTGGCTTACTCCATGGTGGATTAAAAACCATTCATATTCAGATTTATTGATTTAGCTGTACTTGACACTATTGAATGAGGTCACTGAAGAAACAAAGTAGCAGATATGTTGAAGTTGTAATTATAGCTGAAATGAGAACCGTCTGACTGAACAACTTCACAACTCTGATGCCGTTCCTCCCGTTTATTATGTAAAGCTGCTTTGAAGCGATCTGCATGGTTTAACGCTATACAAATAAACATGACTTGACACGGGTTACAAAGAGGAAGCCGAGCGGTGATCGTTTCAGCAATCGGATGTGGTGTCATCACATGCTTCAGAAACCATCTATATCTGAAATGAACCACAAGGCAACAGGAAACCAATCCCTGGAGTGGGCGGGGGGAGGAAGTCTCGCGTTACAGAAAAACACCCGTGGGGTGCCGGTTTCCAAGAAAAGTCCCAAATCATGAAATAAAGCTGGAATCAGATCGACATTTACGGGAGAAACATGGCGGATCCTAATGGAGAGCGCTTCTGTCTGAGCCCTAGTCATCTTTTTATAGCACACTTGAAGGGTGTTATGGGAAGAGACTGACAGCACATGGGGGATGGACACTGTAAAACAATGATGAAAACGGCAGAAGGAACACACCAAACCAGATCGGATAACCAAAAAATAATTCAATATTTATTTGCGGTACAAACAAGTCTTGTATTGGTTTTCATATACTATACAATACATAGGGACAATTTTATATCCTTCATAAACCAGAAAATTGAACTGCCCGGTTACCAAGCCCAGTATTATACACATAGATTGTATCTTTTAAAAAAAATGTATACAGCACATATAAAACAGCTCTTTGACATTTGAAGCTGTAACACGATGCCGACGCATTGTCAAATAAAAATCCCTGAAAAATTCCTCGGTGAGGTAAGATATACAGTTCCTTATTCACTCATCTAGTTCCTGTGTGTCGTTCGCTTTCGTTCCTACTGTTATTAATCGCAGAACCGTTATGTAGCTACAAGATACGGCCACAGAAAGCCTTGTTCCTGTGTTCTGGCAATGTACGAACGGAGAAAAAGATGAACGGTTTCTCTTTCCCATGGTTGCAGATACAAACATTCCTCCACAAGAAGCAGCTCGAAATCAAGATGTACATGTAAATAAAGAAGCCGTGAAATGACGCGCCTTTCCGTCCCGGGGTGATGCGAGAGCGCAGTGTTGTTATTGTGACTGGGTCATTTCAAGCACGAGAAACAGTCATCCGCGATGATATATATATTAAGGGGATGACTCTTGCATATCTGCACAAGATGAGTATTACACACACACACACATACATATATATATATATATATATGCATGCGCATGTATATCGAGATATATGAAGGCCACAGGAGTCAGTATATAGCACATATTTTGTATATATAGGAAATCCATGGGTTAAATCGAATCGGACGAAACACGAGCGAGCGCCCAGCACCCAGACGCACTCCGGACACCCCGGGCGAAAAGCTGCCTCCGTTTCAAGCTATAACTCTGTGGATCTCTAGTATCAAAAGTAGAGGAGTCAAAAACCCGAGGCCATTTTCTAGAAAATACTGCAAAGGGTTGTTGAGTATATTGCAGAGTAACAAATACAACCTTGACTGACCCGTTAAAGACCATTAGTCGTCTATTATTATTACTACATATTGGTTTCTTTAAAAATGAACAAACGTCTTGGTAATACAACGATTTCTAAAGGGAGATACAAAGAGAGTATTGAACAGTCAGAGTAGGAAAGAATTAAAAAGGTTATATAAGGCCAGCTTAAAGCAACCCTGTTAACTCAAGCACTCGTCCACTCAGGTCCAGTCGCTCATTCCTGCGGTCAGGAACGCCCTCGCTACACACTGTTTGCCGCTTGGGAGCAGCAAGAGTAGTTAAAAAAACAGTCCTCAACATTCGGTGACGTGCCATGCCTCGAGAGGATCGCATGCCCAAATACATCGAGTGAATAGATATACTCTTACGTAGAAATTAATACAATATATTCATACTGTAATGAGAATCGCCAAGGCCAGAAGGTGAGCGAGCCCGGAAGTCGGGACACAAACGTGGATCTGTCGTTCTTGCGGTTAAGGAACAATGAGCTTTAAGTGTGCGCGTCGTCCCACGCAGCTGCGGGGCCTCGTCGCAGCCTAGGACTGGCAGCTCCTCTGAATGTCTCTTTCTGTGTGTGTTGGAGTACCGCTTTTAAGTGCCAAGAAGAGAAAGGCTTCGCCACTGTGCAAAACGCATTAGGTCATTGCAAACGTAGAGCGAGAGAGAGAGAGAGAGAAAATAAAGAGGGGGAGGGCTCACAATGTTTGTTTGTGTCGGTTCGGTCGCCAACACGTCACTACTTTGGACAACATGGTTCTGCGCAGAGGAAAGAGACAAAGATATAGAAACGGACAGAATGCATGTGTGGCACACCTCTCGGCTTTCGCTCGAAGAACGAATCTGACCCTACGTTCAAAAATCCCATGCGGTGCGTCGGCAGCCTTCGAGACCGGAGGGCATCTGCAATCAAAGCTTCCTTCTCTTCGAGCCAAGTGCTGTGCAAAAGTGTGCTTAACCACCCTCCGTCCCTCCCTTCGCCGCGGCTGCTGGCCTGTCCTCCAGGTCGAAAGCTCCCCTGGAGTTGGGAGATAAACATTCAAAGGGTGGCTGCTCCCACCCAGCATCCTCTGCTGGCCTTCATGTGGACTCCAGCGTGTCCAGCTGGAACATGTTGTGATTGGTGGGCGTGGTGAAGAAGAGCTGGTCGTTGGGCGTCGAGCGGTTGTCGCAGGGACTATTTAGCCCCAGTGTCCTCTCGAAGTCCAAAAGCTGCCCCATGAAGTTGAAGTTGGGCGAGATGTTGGACTTCTTGCGCTTGACGAAGTCGTAGGCATCGTTGAGCGATAGGTTGAGCTTCTGCATCAGGTACGCCACCGTGACGGTGACCGAGCGACTGATGCCCGCTAGGCAGTGCACCAAGATGCCACACTTTTTGGAACGAGCTTCATCTGAGGAACAGAAGAACATAAAAGAGATGAGCCTCGAGTGCCAGACCAGCCCAACTGAACCTCACATATACACACACATTACACGAATGACCTCTGCATCAGTTTGGGAGCATGCAAAACGCCCACATCCAATCACAAAAAAAGTTGTTTTTTTTTAATGAGGAGGGTCACCTTGTGGACTAGCTTTAAGATACCTAGAAGGTTTAATTGATAGATTTTATGCTTAAATAAAAGAGGTGCATTTAGAGGCTTTTAGTGTGTTTTTTTGGAGAGGTGTTCTAATCTCTTTCCCACTGGACTGTGAATAAAGCTGCCCAACCAGTAGAGTGCATAAGTGCTGTCCATTTTTTCTGGATGCATTTCCCCCCCCCATTCATTCTTCCCATAGGAATCATAAAAAGTCTTTGTTAAAGAGGTGAATCCCAGCATTACAACAAACTTGATTTGAAGCAATAAAGGTTTAAAAAATAATTAAATGGCCAAAGTCACAAGAATGTCTACTTAATGGCTTTAATGAGGGGGAAAACTGGAATCCCATCAAGCTTTATAGAGAATCATAAAAAAAACAATGAAATATAAAACTGTAAAATGTGTCGATTATATAGACAATATAATTCACATTTACTACAATATATTTTCAAAGGTTAGTTAATGTTCAAAATCAATTCCTCTAGTAAATGAATGGTATTTTTATTTCCAGAAACGGACTACTGAACTCTGAAGATTCATGTTTTTGATCACATGCCCAGAGATGCTGCGGTTACATAAAAATACGACTCGAGTGCTGCTCATGACCAAAGCATTTTGCTAAGCTTCAGTGAGTAGCACAGGAAGAATCATGATCTAATTGTGTGTGTGTGTGAACAGGCCTGTGGACAGACACCTTTGGCTGCTGCGTTTGAGTTTTTAAGTGACATTAGCATCGCCTTTTAAAGCTTAAAGTCATGACGTCATCACACAAGAACCAATGAGGTTTGATGCTATGGACACGTGGTCAGATTTTGGTTAGATTTGAAAGTGAACATAGGTTTAATTTCCACCCTGTTATCATACAAAGTCAAGCTACCTTTAGAGAGCTTGAAACTTTCAGTTCACACTGACATTAACTGTATGGACAAACACAGTGCATGATGACAATATGCATTTTTGGGTGAACTATTTCTTTAAGAGACGTGTCTGACGGGAGTCTGTGTAATCATACATGGCTTCTTGTAGACCAATTAGTCGTGGGCTCTTGTTTAGAGAACAAGTAGTTAAATCTCAACTTAATAAGGCTGCACTGAACTCCTGAAATGGCCAATCATGACACCGTGGCTGTGGTAGAGTCTGCTTCAGTACAGTAGCGTTCAGTGGCGCGCTCTACAGCTCCAGTCAGCGGAGCCATGAGCGATTCACCCAGACAACGGTTAATAACGTCAAGCCAAACCATTGCAAACAGATCACATGACAAACGCCCCCTCTATAAATCTTTCTACTAGGTCTGACCCGTGAATGGGAAAAAGTACAGCTATACATTATTTAGAGACGAAGTGCATCTGGTTTTGTGGGGCATGACGTACTACAGAGCCATTAGTGCCAGGCGAGGCAGAGTAAAGTGGCCATTTCCTCTTCTCCGCTCGTGATGGATGCGGCAAGAGCGCTCCGAGTCCAGCTGAACCCTGGAACAATGAGGTCACTTCCCCCAGAAACACTGGCTCCACCACCGAGACGCTTCAGTGAATTCATAAAACACAACGTACAGTATGTAAAACAACAACGACCGCTGAGCTCTCCAGCTTTTGCTATTTTTCATCTAAACAGGAAGTTCCTTTCAGCAAAGCTTCCTAAGATTCAATAGGAAGCAACGGCATGATTTACACAAACAATCACATGAAAGTGTGTTTACGCAGCAAAAGCGAAAGTGTTCAGCGAGCGAACAGCAGCGTCCAGCTGCATAACAGGATGTGGTGATAGTTCAGTGCACCAGTTTGCCCTTCCGCTTCTCTCGTACCTGCTTACCTCATGACCACAGGATAATGCATTATTTCAGATTATTTTATTTAGTTCTTTTTTCTCCATTTCGGTCACCGATGGAGTTTTGGTTCCTTGGCTTGCTTAGTTGGGGACTCTTCATTTCTGGCAATATTGTGGATTTGGTTGCACAGATACTTTTTGAACTGAACTGAGCTGGGGGTGCGTTTCCCCAAAAACAACTATGGTCGCAAGTTCCGTCGTTACCAATAGAGTTCATTGGAACTAACAACCATAATTAGATAACGATGCTTTTGGGAAACGCGCCACTGGACAACGGCATCACTGAATCAACGATGAACTGACTTTAACTGGAAAAACTAGTGTTTACTATCGTCCTCTTGCGTTATCGACACACTGTTTTCCAGTTTAATACTGTAAAGCTGCTTTGACACAATCTATATAAATACAGCTGACTTGACCCAACATGACCTTCTGTCATCATGCACTCAGCCTCATGCCATTCAGCCTCCTTCTGGGGTGAACTATCCCTTTACTACCATTCAGTTACACGGTTAACTCATCAACTAGATATTTCCCACAGTCTCAATGAAAGACGCACATTTCTTTGAAGGTTACGAATGAGCGGCAGAAACCAGAACAACAGGTTCCAGTCAAAAGCACATGTAGATGCCAGACTACTGTCACGCGAAAACACCTCCAGTGTGAATGGGAAATATTTCACTTTTCAAATACCCGTGGTGTTTCAGTAAAGCTGTACATGGTCACATTAAAATAGATGTAAACAGTGAGCTCATACGCTCATGGCTTTCTATAACTACCACAAAAAAAAACAAAGCAGACTTCTACCATTTGCAGCTCTTGATGAGACGGGGTACAAAGACGAAGACCAAACTTAGCCTTTGTAATGCAGATATAACCTCAGACTAGATGTTTTTAGGAAATGACTTTAGAAAGTGTCAACCGAGATCTGCCGCAGACAGCACGTGCGGCTTCACCGGAAAAACACTGACATCAAAACACCAGAGAAACTAAAACCGTTTCCGTCCTTATTCATCTGGAGACCCAAGCTTTTATTTTTATTTTTTTTAAATGAACAAGTTTGCTACCCATTCAAAGCGAACGATGAGGTGACATCCGTGCGTGCTTTGTCTCGATTCACGCTCGCACGGTTCAGTTCTGTGATCTATGGCCTACATCGATCACTTCTGTACAGCTCACTGAATCAATTATATCCACTTCCTCTGCTGCCCTTGTTTTACAGCACCACGGGAAAGCTCGTCTGACCTGACCCGAGCTCGTTAGCTTGAGAAATGTCTGGAGATGCTTATCTGTCGGGTTTAAGCAGTGCTGTTCTTCATGTAGACGCAGGTGGACAAAAGCAGTCATGAGCAGCACAGGTATATTTGTAGCAGTGGTGGGAAGAGTACTGAAAATTTGTACTTAAGTACAAGTACTGTTACATTGCTGAAATAATACTCAATTACAAGTAAAAGTACTGGTGCCAAAACAGTACTTAAAGTAAAAGTACTCTTCTCAAAAACTACTCAGAGTAGTTACTTTTTAGTTTGCGATATTTAATGAATTACCAAATTCATATCAAAGATATATGTGGATAATAGCTACTTTGAACAAAACCCACTTTTATCTTACTGCCAAAGTCCGCAGACAGCACGTGCGGCTTCACCGGAAAAACACTGACATCAAAACACCAGAGAAACTAAAACCGTTTCCGTCCTTATTCATCTGGAGACCCAAGCTTTTATTTTTATTTTTTTTAAATGAACAAGTTTGCTACCCATTCAAAGCGAACGATGAGGTGACATCCGTGCGTGCTTTGTCTCGATTCACGCTCGCACGGTTCAGTTCTGTGATCTATGGCCTACATCGATCACTTCTGTACAGCTCACTGAATCAATTATATCCACTTCCTCTGCTGCCCTTGTTTTACAGCACCACGGGAAAGCTCGTCTGACCTGACCCGAGCTCGTTAGCTTGAGAAATGTCTGGAGATGCTTATCTGTCGGGTTTAAGCAGTGCTGTTCTTCATGTAGACGCAGGTGGACAAAAGCAGTCATGAGCAGCACAGGTATATTTGTAGCAGTGGTGGGAAGAGTACTGAAAATTTGTACTTAAGTACAAGTACTGTTACATTGCTGAAATAATACTCAATTACAAGTAAAAGTACTGGTGCCAAAACAGTACTTAAAGTAAAAGTACTCTTCTCAAAAACTACTCAGAGTAGTTACTTTTTAGTTTGCGATATTTAATGAATTACCAAATTCATATCAAAGATATATGTGGATAATAGCTACTTTGAACAAAACCCACTTTTATCTTACTGCCAAAGTATGTGAATTAGTGGTCATGATACAGGAATTTCTAACTTCAATATCAAACATCAATATCAAAAAGTACCCGTGAACCAGAAGTTGCAACTGACTTCAGTGTTGTGATGCATTTCCAAGTGAAACGGAATTCAGAGCCAGAACTCCATTCCAGAGCGGAAGCCAATACTCAGTTTTTGATTAAAGATTATTTTTTTCCAGTGTATTGACTTGCACGGTTCAATTGTTCGCCACAAGACTAGTAATGTGCACTAAAAAGTAAGTATAGGGTAATTTTTGATTTCATGACAACAAATCATTTTCAATACCACTGGCAAAACTAACACGTACTGTATACTGCCATATAGACATTTTTATATTTTACATTTTTTTTGCACATCCATTTTTTCAAGGCAATCATTAATTAAATCTTTGAAATTGGTTTAATCCAAGTCTTCTAAAAAGACACATTCGCTTTATATGATGAACAGATTTGAATAAAGGCTTTTATTTACATGCATATAAATATTGGTCAATTAACATTGACCACAAAAATCTCAATCTTAAACGTTTGCGCATTCTGTGTATTTGTGTCTTTAGAATAGGGTAACTTTGTTGCAAAAGCTTACAGCACAAGGAAGCTTGATTTCAAACTGAATTGAATTTGCCAAAAAAAAAAGAAAAAAAAAAGACAATTACACATTCAGAAATAAAATTATAAAACAAATGACCTCAATTCAGTTTGAAGTGTTCAAAATATGACCACAATTAATTTTTATAAGCAGTTATTTAAGAGCCATATACAGTATGTTAGGCCTATTTATTTAGATAAATGGACCATCAGATGGCTTTGACCTGTAATATCTGTACAATGTAGTGATGCAGTTAGGCAGACTCGGATATTTATATGTACAAATCAGACAAATATCCCATTCCAAAACATTTCTAGCATAAACTTACATTGTAAAGGAATTAAAGTTCCATCTTTGATTGTTGAAAGACTTTCTGGTGCATTTCACTTACAGCCAATAACACTCCCAGTAGGATTTTCATCGATCAGGCGTGGATCTATTCTACAAAGACAGTTGAGCAGCAAATCAGAATATTAGAATGATTTCTGAAGGAGTAATGATGCTAAAGCTCTGCTTTGAAATCACGGGAATAAATTATATTTTCAAATAGAAAACAGTTAAAATGTTACAGTTTTTGCTGTATTTTGGATCAAATAAATGCAGGCTTGGTGAACAGAAGATAATTCATTAAAAAAAACATTAACAATCTTACTGTTCAACAACTGTTGACTGGTATGTTAGCCTATAGTTTGAAGTTAAATATATTAATATTAATAAGGAGAGTGAGATTTATTTGACGGTGATTTCACATTTCTTGTTTGTATGAAGGCTGAATACCAATAAAAGGTGAACATTTATTTGCGGCATTTTTTTCCTAAAATATTATATAGTTTTATAGGAGTAGGTTTCATAGAGTTGGCAAATACATTTTTCATAAGTTTGTAGGTACAGACATCTGTTGTGGCCGTTCTTAATGAGGCTTTTTTTAATAGTGTTCATATCGATATCGGAATTATATCGTATCGACCGAAATTAAGAAATATATCGTGATATAAATTTTGGCCATATCGTCCAGCCCTAAGTTCAACCCAGGAGCAAGGATAAATAATTTCTACTTTAAAAGCACGGAGAGATCGCGACTGCACACAGTCTGCGCACAAGCAATGTCGGAGTGAGAGGACAGGCAGCTCATTTGAATAAGTTAGGCCTATTTGAGAGCTCGCATCCAGTTTTCTGCGATTACATGACTGTGTTCTCATGTTACAATAAAGCGCTCGCCACATTTGTGTGGGAATGATTAAAATGATGCTGAATACCTGCAATCTCGACATTCAGACCCTGTAATCGCCAGGAGGCGATGCTTGGCAAACTCGCCGTCGGAGAGGAAAGAGAGAGCAGCTTGGTAAAGCGGCGGCTTCTCCCGGTTCAGATATCAGGGCTGTTATCGGTCCCTGTACGGTCGGATATCTTTATTGGCTGCTGAAGTGCCGTCAAAGGTTTGCATATCAATTATAATTGTGGGTGTACTCAGTAACGAACTGTGATTTAAAAGTAACGAAGTAGATTATTTTGCTTAATTTGTACTCAAGTACAAGTACAGCTTTAAAAATACATTAAAAAAAAGTACAAGTACCCGAAAAAACTACTTAATTACAGTAACGTGAGTAGTTGTAATTCGTTACCTCCACCACTGATTTGTAGCAATAGCCAACAATACATTGTATGGGTCAAAATTATCCAGTTTTCTTTCATGCCAAAAATCATTAGGATATTAAGATCATGTTCCATGAAGATATTTAGTAAATCTCCTACCGTAAATCGTGGAGTTCCGCGCTTGAGAACTTTCCTCAGTTCTTAAATCCCCGTGAATTTTATCTGAGAGGAGCGGGTTTAATCCGTTTCTCTCACACACACACACACGCCGTTACTCCGGACAAACCGTCCCGTCAGCACCGGCGCCGGTTACCGTACCGTCCAGGTAGTAGGCTTTGCAGCCGTCGTCCCGCAGCTTGTGCATGAGGAGCCCCAGCACGGAGCCCTGCCAGTCCGCCGCCGCCGCCTCGTCGTACAGCAGCACCGTGTCCGTCTTGCAGCGCCGCGCGAAGCGCTCCTTGTCCTCGGTGTTGGGGATGATGGAGCGGATGGGCAGGTTGCCCTTCTTCAGCCTCCGCAGCATGAGTCCCGGGATGGCCAGGTTGATGGCGGACTCGATGTGCGAGGACTCGTAGAGCTCGTGTGAGCGGCAGTCCAGCAGCAGCAGCGACCCCCCGCCGCCCTGCAGCTCCTCCTGCAGCCACTCCGCGCTTTTGCTGGACATCATCGCGCCGCTCCAGAGCGTGTGTTTCATGAGCGATCAGGCGCCGAGAAGAAGTTCCCCCGCGGGCAAATCCATGCGCGTCAAGAGGTCTGGCTCAGCTGCTTCGCTCCGCTCGGCGTCCATAAGAGGCGGCTGCTGCGGGGAACGCTCCGTCAGATCCGCGCGGGGCGAGAGAGCAGCTCATGACCGCTCGCCTGCTTCTCGTCTTCTGACGCCTGTTTGACAGCCTGTAATAAACCGATCGCGTCACGCCGGTGGGCGGGGTCTGTGCTGAGCATTTAAAGGCGCAGCGCCTCTTTAAAATATCCAGTCGTGGCCCCATGGAAGATTTTGTCCTGAGGTAGATTGGCCAGGAAACAAGAAGAGGCTGATTTAGTTGGTGCTTCATGAGTGTGTTACAGAAGTGTACACAGCTCTATACTGACGGTACTAAGACGCCGGAGACGGGAGTAACAGGATCTGGAGCGGTGGTTCCACTAGTGTTGTTTTCGGCGGCCTGTTTTAGTCTAGTCTTTGTGTGAAGCTGTCATTTGAGTTTTTATTAGTTTTAGTCACGTTCATACTCTTTTTAGTCTAGTCAAGTTTTAGTCAACTAAAAGTCTGAGCATTTTAGTCTTATTTTAGTCAGAATTATCCATGGCTATTTTCGTCTAGTTTTAGTCAATGAAAATGGTATTTTAGTCTCTTTTTAGTAATGCAATTCTATAGTATAAGTACCTAATGTTAGTAGTATAGATGAAACCAACATTTTCTTTTAGCCAAACCCATTTCAAACAAGGTTATCTTATTATATTATTGTTACCTTATAGCAGTGGTTCTCAAATGTTTTTTCCACCGGGCCGCACTATGGTCCAAGTGAACCAATTACGTCACCAATACAAACCAACCAGATTTATAATATTATAGCCTAAATATTATGATATCTAATCGATTACATTCATTGAAATAAATAATTCTACTCCCCCATACATAACACCCAATTGTGTGCACTTCGGCTGGAAAGGAGTAACAGCGCAATCATAGGCGGAGTTTCACTTTAATGCGTGGGGGGGCACCCTCTGACGAGCCACGAGCACTTTGTTATATATTCTACATTTCATGTATTTATGTAACACATATTCTACATTTAAAAATTAATTTAGAATGAACAATAACTGCTGTACAAAGAGTAAAAAAATGAAATGAAATAAACATACCTAATGCAGAAAAGCCGTCTCTTTTTCCGAATTGCGCAGATGACCACTATCTTTCTTTCATCTCTTCTGATACATCTTCAGTCAAATCATTTTCTGTGTGCTAGATCAGGGCTAGAGCCCCGCATTTCAGCCCGGGCCTGACGGGCCCCGACTTTTTCACGCCCCTCGGGCTGGGCTTCGGGACAATTTTCACAGCATAGTTCAGACGCGGGCCTGGCCTCGGGCCTGTTTTAGGCTTCTCCTTATTTTTATATTTTAGACATCCATCAATTAGTGATGAAAAGACTGCCGCGCTGGTGGAAGTGCTACCGAGACTGTCAAGAGCGGCTCGACGGTGTTTAGTGTCCCGCAGCAGCAGGAGTATGGAGCGTGCCGTCAGCGCAGCTGAAGAGTTCTGCGTTCAAATGCACGCAATAGGCTTAAGCTTGCAGCAAAGCATCGGCAAAAGTAATTACCATAAATGTGTCAGGGGGAAACAGTAAGGAGATATTTGAATTATTTATTTATTTAGTCGGTGTCGCAAGGATGAAGTTGTCGATCCTGACTCGCCATCTCTTCATTAGACACGCCTTTAGAGAGAAGTGCATCTTTACAGATTATGATCATAATGAAAGAGTTTTTGTTTTTGATTAGTTTAATTTCGTTAAGTAGTAATTTAAAGCTTTCTATAGATATATTTATCATGTCTGTGAGGCATGTATTCGCTGAGTTTCTTCCTGTTCAAGACCGAGACGGCAGAAAGCACATCATGTTTGTTTTCTTTATTTTATAAAAGCACAAGGTTTTGTTGATATTGTGAGTGTATGCAAATAAAAGTAGACCCTTTACAGTTATGAATGATGCATTACTCTTACCTTTCACTGAACGACGTATCACTGAAAAAAATGCAAGTGATCGCGCTGGCGCCTCCATGTCCCGCAAAGCGTCTCCGCACAAACTATTGGATACAGCGCACATTTATCTAGGGTTAACGACTAAACATTGTTATATGCTTGAACTGTTTTATATCTATAGATTTTATTTTAGTCAAGTCGTGATGATTTGAGAGGCTAAATTGATCAAGCATAGGCTCACTGTCTGCCGCTGGCCACTTGGCCATTACTTTAAATGCGTAACGTTAATTGGGCTATGTGAGTACTGCTCATGTCTGAAAATAATATATGAAAAACTCAATTATTTTACATAAAAACATTAGGCTATAGCTTATATTTATTTAGTACATTTTTAAATTAATGTAAAAACTAAAATGAATTGTAAAACTGAAAGTAATTTCTTTAAATTGTGTTCAGCACGGTGGGCCGCATCTCTTTCTCTGTGTCAGACTTAACTTTGTTTGGTTGTCGTCTTCTAAATAATGCCGCGAGTGGGGCTTGAGGAAGTGCGACCTGATGCAGCCCCTGAAGTGAGACACGGGAAACAGAAATACTGCAAAATAATAATAATAACGCGACTAAACGAGACAAAATAACGTTATAACATTTCGTTTCGTCTCGTTTTGGTCAACGAAAATGAAGAGACATTTTAGCATAGCAAAGCATCGGCAAAAGTAATTACCATAAATGCGTCAGGAGGAAACAGTAAGGAGATATTTTAATTATTTACTAATAAACTAGTGTTTTCTGAGTCGGTGTCGCAGGATGAAGTTGTCGATCCTGACTCTCCATCTCTTCATTAGACGCGCCTTTAGAGAGAAGTGCATCTTTACAGATTATGATCATAATGAAAGAGTTTTTGTTTTTGATTAGTTTAATTTCGTTAAGTAGTAATTTAAAGCTTTCTATAGATATATTTATCATGTCTGTGAGACATGTATTCGCTGAGTTTCAGTTCATTTTTTCCTGTTGAAGAAGAGACGGCAGAAAGCGCATCATGTTTGATTTCTTTATTTTATAAAAGCACAACGTTTTGTTGATATTGTGAGTGCACACAAATAAAAGTAGACCCTTTACAGTTATGAATGATGCATTACTCTTACCTTTCACTGAACGACGTATCACTGAAAAAAATGCAAGTGATCGCGCTGGCGTCTCTAAGTCTTGCAAAGCGCGCTTCAGCTTCCACTCTCTGCACAAACTATTGGATACAGCGCACATTTATCTAGGGTTAACGACTAAACATTGTTATATGCTTGAACTGTTTTATATCTATAGATTTTATTTTAGTCAAGTCGTGATGATTTGAGAGGCTAAATTGATCAAGCATAGGCTCACTGTCTGCCGCTGGCCACTTGGCCATTACTTTAAATGCGTAACGTTAATTGGGCTATGTGAGTACTGCTCATGTCTGAAAATAATATATGAAAAACTCAATTATTTTACATAAAAACATTAGGCTATAGCTTATATTTATTTAGTACATTTTTAAATTAATGTAAAAACTAAAATGAATTGTAAAACTGAAAGTAATTTCTTTAAATTGTGTTCAGCACGGTGGGCCGCATCTCTTTCTCTGTGTCAGACTTAACTTTGTTTGGTTGTCGTCTTCTAAATAATGCCGCGAGTGGGGCTTGAGGAAGTGCGACCTGATGCAGCCCCTGAAGTGAGACACGGGAAACAGAAATACTGCAAAATAATAATAATAACGCGACTAAACGAGACAAAATAACGTTATAACATTTCGTTTCGTCTCGTTTTGGTCAACGAAAATGAAGAGACATTTTAGCATAGTTTTTATTTTGTAAACCACATTTAGTCTCGTTTTTATTCGTCAACACTATTGCATTATACATTTAATTATAGTCATCATCACATGACCAGCATTTACGTTGCATCTCGTCTCATTTTCGTCACGTGATAAAGGTTCGTTGACGACGATATTTAGTCATAATTTTCGTCGACGAAAGCAACACTAGGTTCCAGCAAAGGGAGTTGAAGTTAATAGAAGAACATCTAACAATTTAGCAGTATTTCCAGTGGAGATGCTGGCATTTTTAGTTGCTTTACAGTGGGTGGGAAAAAAACGGGAATAGACAAAGTTGTAATATGTTCAGATTCATCATCAGTTCTAGTAAGTTTGAGATCTTTACATTCAAAAAGTCGACTAGATATACTGTATGAGACCCTTAACTCCGTTACAAGAATAACAAATCAGGGAGGCCAAGTAACATTTTTATGGGTTCCAGCCAAGCGGCAGCCTCCCGCTCTCTCTCGTGAAGCCAACACGGAAGTGACTTAAACTGCAATTCATCGACTGGCCGCTAGAGGCTGCTGCAAAAGAGAGTCAATCCCATAGACCCCTCATGTTAAAATGCCCAACTTTACAGCAGAAAAAAACATGTTTACAGCCTGGTTCAAAAAATTATTTTGGTCTGTATAGCTAATTTTGCCCGTCGTGACAACTGTGAGGGGGGTGAATTTTTTTTATAAGTCATCCGTTTAAATTATATGAAGCCTTAAAGTTCTGCATAATTAAGGGCGTGGCCACTTGAGTGACAGGTGGATTGCTACTGCTGTCACCGGCATCGAGCTAGGTGGGCCTGGTTTCAGCAGCCAGCTCCCGCCTCTTTGCCCATTTTCGATTATCCGGGAGTGACACGCAGCCAAGATGGCGACGGCCGGCTCCGCCCACTTTTGAGCTTCAAAAACGCTCTTCGGAAACCTACGGGTGACGTCACGGACACTACGTCCATGTTTTTATACCGTCTATGGTTCCAGCGCATGTAGGAGTGGAGGGGAATGAAAAAGTAGATGGTGGCAAAGAGGGCATTGATGAAGAGAAACGTAGAAATGCAAATAAGAAACAGTAAAGCAGAAGTGAAAAGCATAATCTGGGGGGAAAATAAAAACAAATGTGGCAAGAAAGGGTGACATCTATAGCATTCAAAAGAGTATTAAAGCAAAGAGGGTAGGAATTGGGAACAGGAGAGAGGACATTGTGTTGACTAGGTTAAGGCTGGGACATTGTGCTCTAAATAAAACATTTAAAATGGTAGGGAAACACCAGTCTGGTCTATGTGACCAATGTCAGGAAGAGGAGTCAGCGGAGCATGCAATTCTACAGTGTAGGAAATACAAGACACAAAGAGAGT